GAAGAAAAAAGATTTTTTTCAAGTTAGTATTTTATTTTTAAGGAAGAAAATGAACGTTTAAAATTATTAATCGATTCAGGCAAATATAATTTACAATTAGATATTCTACCTGGTATGACCAGTCAAGATATTGAATTAATGAGAAAAAATATGCAAGAAGAAATTCTTTCACAAATACAAGCTAACCAACAAATGTTACAAAACTCTAAGACATCTTGGGATTTAAAGGTAATTTAAATTAGAAATCTAATCCTAATATTACTATGTCAAAACTATTTGATACTCAATAATGCACATATAGGATGTTTTCAATGTTATACTACACTTCCACATAAATAGTTAACAGTGAATACTTTCATTCAAATAAGTAATGTTACAAATTTGCTATAATTATGCATATATGTAACTAATCATATACTAATTAATGCTTTCTATCTCATTTCTATGTCTCTTCTTATCTAAATAGAAACTTTTAGTCACCCGGAAAATACCTGTGGCATAATCATAGGGAACTTTTTGTTAAACGAATGTCCTATGGATTCCTTTTAAACTTAATGAATTTTGAATTTTTCAAGTGTGTTGTAATTTTAGCTGAACTCTGAACGTTTTTTTTTCTCAGTGAGATTTTATTGACACTATGCAGTGCATGTGAAATTTTGATGATATAGAATAATATATAAGATATTTTCATTTTTAATACCGTTCTTTTATTCAAGTCTTCTAAATATGACTTATTATTCATTCCAAAAATTCTTTTAAATAAAGAAAATTAATAATGGCTCATTGCATAATTACATACATATCACATTCGAAATAAACTTAAAAAGCGTTCTATTTTACGACTCTGTTGAATGATTCTAATTTGTTGGAAACATTGAAGATAATAGACAATTCTAAAGATAGATTCTATCAGTGAATTTCAATTAATAATATTATTAGAAAGAATAAATTGAGTTGTACTTAAAAACCTCAACAACTATTATAAATTAGGGTACTAAGGGCAATTCAATTTCATATACTATTACAGTTATGAATTGTAATAATAATATGAAAATTTTGAATCAATAATGATTGGCCTTGAGGAAATATTTAGTTGTAGAATGGCATCAACAATAAAAATGTTTTAGACATTATTTTATATTTTTTAAATTTCTAATGAACTATGTAATATCACAGAAATTTTGGACAGAATCAACAAATTAAGTCTCGAAGTTCGAATTAATATTAACTATGAGAGTAAAACATTAATTATATTTCAAAAGAATACAAGATTTCCTTGTAGGAAATTACTCATATAATTACACGATGGATACACTTTCCGATATTCTAGGAGATATTTTTGTTCAGATAGCACAAGACAAGCGGAACAAAAATCATAAATTATAGTTTCAGTTGTTGCATATGTTCGTAATAATAGCATGTTTCTATCATTAGGTATCTAAATAAAAGCATTCATTTTTCATTTTTTGTGTAACTATGTCACTCTGTTCAAAGCTGAAAATAACATAAAAATAAATCAAAACTTTCATCTTTTTTTTTTCATAATATTTTTCTAGTTGAGTAATCAAATGAGAATAAGTCACAGAAAATATTTTTTAATCTTGCGACCAATTTAATTTCAATATTTTAATTACGAAAGAAAAAATAGATCGAAATACTGACTATATGTGGTTAAAAAAAACAATGAGTATTTTCTGATATCAATGCTTTTGCATCAGAATGCTTTGTTCAGATAGAATCATTATTGAGTTTTATCTGTCTTAGACTACGAAGCACTACAGATTATTTGAATCTTTTCTTAATACCATATCTACTTTGAGAAGTTCAGCTCCAGCTGGTCTCTGATTGATAATTAAAACAGAGTATTCCATTTTAATTGTTTCATAATTGAGTATTGATTAGTCTTTCAATCAAGACTAATGAGGATAACAATTTAAGTTGGGCATACATCATACTCGTTTCTCGTGAGATGATTATTTTCAATTCAAATTCACAAGCTATTCTACATTGCGAACATCGATCGAGTCATTATGCTCGCTATTTTTCTGTCGTTACTTGTTCGTCATGCTTCGTTTGACCACTACGAAACGAAACCAAAAGATGCTTGACTAATTAGGCCTCCAATACGGTGTTAAAAATGAAACAAGATCTATGTTAGATGATGTTATTAAAACTGGATGTGCTCAAGTTGGATTGAGTGAACAATAAGCACTACCTACTAGAGCCCGTCGGGGTTCAACATTTTCGGACCGGAACTCGGATCAGCACGAATTAAATATCAACTCGATGGGCTCTATACCCCACACTCATAAAAATAAGCCCTGTTACTCATTTCGCTTATCTTAATTAGTTGACAAATAAGATACTAATTGTGGATGATCCGACTTTGGAGTTGATTTCTGTTTCAGCATAGACCGCATCCGGAAAAAACTAGGTTGGAACAAATTAATCAATGTGACCATTTTGAGGGGGGGGGCACCCTTTGAGGAAATAGACTGTAACGATGAACATGTTATTTTTATTTTTTAATATTTGAAGTGAAGCCATGCATGGGCGCAAACGGACAAATAGCAATTTAATTTTTCTTTCTTTATAAATAAGTAGGAAAAGTATAATTAAATTAGTCGAACAAAATCGAATCATGTCTTTATATTTTTCATATATTCTATCAAATCATATTTTATTTTTTCTATTAAGCTTAAAAATGCTCAATTGGATGAGAAAAAATCTCCAAATCAACTCAATAAAAAAGTTCCGTATCTTGCTAATTTAAATGAAGATCCAATGTTATCTTATGTTATATTACATTATTTTAATACTGATGAAATAACAATTGGTAGTCGAAATTCCACTATATGTCTTTATGGTTTAAATATTCTTGAACGGCATGCTACTATTCGATCTATAGATTCATATAGATATGAATTAATAGCAGCTGAACCTGGTTCAAAAATTAAAGTGAATGGATACAATTTAAATGGGTAAATCAAATCAAATAATTTCAATTTGAAATTAATTGATTATATATTATCTATTATTATTGTATTTAGATCAACACAACTTCGACATAAAGATCGTATTTTGTTTGGTGCAAATCATGTTTATGTATATTTAAATCCATCTAATGAAAAAGACGCTTCACCAGATTTACCATCAATAATAACATGGGAATTTGCACAAAAAGAAATTGCTAAAGCAAAAGGTTATTCATTAGGAAATAATTTAACTATTGAACAAGAAGAAATTCAAGAAAAAATTTTAAGTTTATTACCATTATTATCAGAAGTAAATGCCATAAGTGAAGAACTTAATAAATATCGTACATTCGAAATTGTTCTTATGCCAATATCAGCATGGGAAGGTACAGCAATTAAAGGATCAAGGTAAAAAAAAGAAATTTGATCTGGTTAGTTTCGTTTTCTTTTTTCTTATTGAAAATTTTTATTTGAAGAGTAATGATTAAAATGAGAAATCTTCTTAATCAAAATATTTGGTATTGGGATGATGCAAAATTTATTAATCGAAGTTTTATTATTAAAGTAAAAAAAAATATTGAGATTCTTCTTTTTCTTTTATTCGAAGAAGATAATTCTTTTCGTTTTGTTTTAGGAACATTATCAACAATTTTTAGATGGAGAAGAAGAAATTTTGTACATTGCAAAAGATGATGATCCGTAAGAAATAAAACCAAAAGCAATATATAATAAATAGAAAAATATGTATTTTTATAGATTTTGGGAACCTGTAGAAGATATTTTACTTGGTACAGCTAATGCTTTTCTTCAAAGTTTAGCTTATTCACTTGATTTTGCTGATGAAATTTGTATTGTGGATTATAAAGTAAGTATCTTTAAGCAGAGACAACAAAAATTCTTTTTACTTACGAAGGAATGTCTTCAACTGATTCACGATATTTTCGCCTATATATTATGCACATGTGGGAAATATTATTCTGAGAGAAAAGTCGAAGAGGATTTGGGCTGATACGATTTCTTTCAATAGATATGAACATTTTCATTCTCATATTAAAAGAGAAAACAAATCAATATAACTTATGATAGGGCTGCTCTTAACCAGGATAATAAACATTTGTTTTGATTAAAATCTCGACGATATTCTAGCGAAGGAAATTCTTCAGTTGATAAGTCGCTTTTGAGTTGAGACTATATGCTTTACGTAGACACATTTCAAATGATTGTTATAACGAAGGAAAAGCTGACTTTCGAATTTCAACTTGAAACTTTGTACAGAGACAGACCTTAACGAGTGTAGTTTATTGTGAAACTTTCAGGTGTTTTAAGTTGCTTCTATTTTGAAATAAGTACATAAAATGTGCTGGTTTATAAGAATGATTTAAAAGACATGCTATTATTATTGTTGTATCTTAGGATGGAAACAGCAGCAATATTTGAAACATCCACAATAAACTGTTCTCGCTAAGGCCCTGTCTCTATGGAAAGCTTTAACTCAAAATTCGATAATCAGTTTTCTCTGATGCTCCTGAGGGTGACGACGACATGCGCTTCAAAAAAAATATCATAAAAGTGTAGTATTTTCGCAGCAATAATTTTAGAACACAAATTCTTTTCAAAGTATTCATAGTTCACTTGGATCTACATAATTAATATAGTCTCAACTCAAAAGCGATTTATCATTTGGAAGACTTCTCTTACAAGAACAACTATATCTATCTATTAAAAAAAGTTTCAGATCAAAATTCTTTAATTTAATTTTATCGGAAAACCTTGACTGTAGATGTAAAGTTTAGTAAAATAGTTGTTATTTTTGGCTTGATGGTCTTGGACAGGTATTTCTTTAGAATTTTCTTAACTTCATTGCATGGAATTATAATTTATGAGAAGCAATAGCAGCGCACACATGAGTTATAAGAAGTTTATTAATATGATTTCTTTTTTAAAATGAAAGTCATGTCTATTGAAAGAAGTCGCATTAGTCCAAAGCTTCTTTGACTTTTTTTTTTTAGAAAGAGATACTTCACATACTGCGAGAGAATAATAATAATTTTCAAAAATGAGAACTATAACTATAAATAATAGAGATTGAACGATGACTAGTAATATGCATTTTTATCGAAGTAGTAGAGTAAATACATTGAATGGTGAAAAAATTTATTAGTCAACGAGCTGAATGAAATTGCATGTTATTTACTATATAATCATTTTCAAGTAAATTGACAGAGTGTCGTCTGTATAGGTTTTAAATGGTTTCTTCATAAAAAGAATATTTCATATTTCTTTTATTTTAAAAGAAACCGTCTTTTCGCTTAGTTTCTTTAAACTTATAAAATTGTTTTTGAATCTGAATAATTTACCTTAAAATCATGTCATTTCTCCCAAGCTTAATCTATTATAATAATCCTTAACCTGAAATAATTCAAATTCAAATGACATCGATCTTTGCACTGATAGAAATGTCATTGTCATGTTTGTTTCTATGATATATTCAATCATTTTATATACAAGGAAAAACCTAATTAATCGATTGAAATGATATTCGTTCATCTGATTCAAACCTTATTTTGATTTTCAACTTTCTCATTCCAAAACCAAATTTATTTTTCAATGAAAAATAATATTCTACAAAAGTTTAGAGAAGAATTTAGACATAGGCTAATAATACTATGTTCATTCATATTCAAATTGTATATTTGTTGATGATACAAATGGCTTTTGTATTTTGCGAATTTTCTTTGAAAAAACATTAACAAAACAAAAAAACTTTCATTTTTTTTATCGAATTCTTTTGTAATTTTGAGGGTTTAGAACAAGGTCGTTTAAGTATTAATCTTTGTCCATGTTCACCAAGTGGTAAAGTGGTAAATGATGAACAATTTGTTGAACAACCTGAACAACTTTTTAATAAACCATATAGTTTTAAAGTAAATACTTATTTTTTATCTCTTAATCACGAAAAAATAAAAATTCATATTTTAGATAACAATGCGTTTTATTGAAATAAACGATGAACGTCATAATAAAGGTCTTCGCATACGTTATAAAGTTTTTAATGAATTAGAATTTACTGAAACAAACATTATTTGTCGTAATACTGTATGTGCTAATGTTAAACAAGCACGTATTATCACAATACCAAGTGTTGATGAAGTGAAGTTTATACTCAATATCGTTTTTCAAATTTTTGATTTTGTTGTTTTTTCTTATTATTGTTTAAATAGGATTGGTTAAGATTTTTTCAAGATGGTTGTATTATATTTCAAATATTTGCTGTACAAGAAGAAAGCAAACCAAATACTGGTTTATTTAAAATGACAACTCGAGTAATGAATAAGGAAAAAGATAATAACAAAACATATTCATCTTTCATTTGATTTCAATTTTTTACAACGATTGTTTTTTCGAATAAATTTGTTTAACGTAGAAATATATAAAATTTTGTCTCGTTCAGCTGACTATTAATTAAAAAGTAACTAGCGAATATCTCTCTAACTATACGACCAACGAAATCCGAAAACTTCAGAATAGACTCTACAGCACGAACCGCAACTATAGTGAAATTTTCAGCAAGGCTGAAATTCAAAAAAAGACTTTCTCATAAAAAACGGTTTTCTAGGCATTCTCAAGAAGGATTTGTACCGTCTGAAATTGATCTTGAGCATCTCATTCGGTGAGAAGAGTATTTTTTTGTTTGTATATTCGCATTCTATCGTGTCGATAACGCTAGTTTTTTACTAATAACTTCTCTAAACAAAAGTCTCTAGCACTGATTTTGTCAGGATATCTGGAGTAACTTAGTATACATGTAAAATATAAAAATTAGTTCTAAGAAAGTTCCTTATTTCGAGATATACGTGCTTTAATTTTATGAAGTCACATCACTAACGAATGATTTTATTTAATTAAAATTAAAAATAAAAATCTTTTTTTTGTTTAAGGATTTAAAAAAAATGGAACAAAAACAAGATAATACCAATCTAATGCCAGTTAATCATGCAAATTCAAGTTTACCAGGTGATTCAAAATTAAAATCTGAATTAACACTTCTTCAAAGAAAATTTTTTCGTCTTGAACAAAAAGAAAAACGCATTCAAGTAGTACAAAAAAAGAAGCATTCTTAGTAAAATGTTTCTATTTTTTTACTTCTTTTAGCAACTATGCCAAGAATGGACAAATAATCATGATTATAATAAATTTTATAAGCTAATGTCAGCTATTGCATTTAGTTCAGGAACAAAATTAAAAGCAACATCAACAGTTGTAAGTTAATTTCTAGTAAATAATTTATTGTACACATGTCTCAAAGCGATATACTTATGCTTATATTATACAACATTCTACTGATAGATATTGAGTGGTTATCAATTAATTCGAAATATGCTTGCGGTATTATATATATTTTTATCTTAAAACAAAAAAATAGAAATAGAAATGCACATTAATAATCATCTTAGTATGCACATTTTATTTCATCACTAATACACATGCACATTAGAAAAAATAAACATAGGCGAAATATTTTTTTTTCTTAGGCAAATAAAGAAAATAATGTCGATGTTTATTTATTTGGAACTGACGAACAAGAATATCTGAAAGATGTCGAACAAGCAAATGCCGATAAACAAAAATATGTAAGTATATAAGAAATAATATTTTTGTTGTTAATTTTTTTAGGATAATGGTCAAACGTTTAAGAAAGATATTTTTTTATGATACCGAACATTTAAACCTAAGTCAAAATAGAGATTTAAATAGACAATAAATTTCTCTAGCCCATGCATTCTATAGCAAATTTTCATAGATAGACTATACGAAGAAAATTTCTGCAAGACCAAATAGGGTGATTTGCAGGTCCTAGAAATTTATGTGAAAATTAGATGTCAAAAGTACCATGCTGAAGAGCACAAAATTCTGGATAAGATGACTGGTCGCCGTATTCTCTACGACCTTCCCTTATAAAGATATAATCATCGCACAAAATATAATTTATTGAAAAATTGCTGAAAGCCACATTTTTTTTTGGCTTATATTTTTTGAAAGAGAGATCATAAAAAATGCGTTGATTCCTCATTTTATTCAGAATTTAATTCTCTTTAAGATGATATTATTCACAACTAATTTTCACACAAAGCTTCTAGGACTCGAAAACCACCGTATTTGGTCTTGCAAAAGCTTTCTTATTATAGTCCAATTATGAAAATTCGGTATAAAATGCATTTGATAGAGAACTTCATTGACTATTCAAATCACTATTTCGATTTAAGTTTAAATGTTCGATATCGTAGAACTTAAGGGATAATTCATTAGTCTTATTAGCACTTTATTTCGGAAACAAAAAAGAAAAATATTCTTTCCTCTTAAAATCAAACTATTTCAAGTCTTCAGAAAAAAATGATTAGGATTACTGAGGCAGACTAATATCTAATAACAAGATGTATGAAACTATTGAGAATCAAGATATTCTGTTTTTCTATCAATAGTGTTTTATGCAAAACAACAAGAATTCTTTTATATTTCTTTAGTGGGACGAATATTATCGAAAGACTGTATTAAAACAAAGACGTAGTTCAATAACTGTTCGCATGGCGACACAACAACAATCATCTGCTAATTCCATACCATTAACACCAAGTACTCTTGGTGTTTCAACAGTAACGGCAAATGGATCAAATCAAAGTAGTCAACAAATTCATAATGGTCCTTCATTAACTCCTTTTCTGACTGCAAATTCAACATCACCTCAAAAGAAAATATATCAAGAATCTGAAAATGATAATATTGATCAATTGAATGGAAATAATCTTCCTAGAGCAAATTCAAAACCAACATGGAAACAAAATGGTACTAAAAATGCAACAAAAGCTGAAACATTTAGTCATGAAAAAAATTCAACAATTTGTACTATTCAATAAAAATTAATATTTAAGAATCAAACAAGTGCAAATGAATTAATTTAAAAAAAAAGATTTATGCACTCTAAAGCACATTTAGCTTATTCTTCTTCTATGGATGTTCTGCTTGTGTTATATTGATATTCTAATTTATATTATTCAAAATTACTTATAAGTCAAAAAAACAACACTATTTACATTCATTTAATATTTTTTAGGAAGATTCGAAACGATTCATTTGATGAAAATTGCTTTTCCAAATAAACAACTGCATAATGTCGATAGATGTATATTTAACTATTTTTTTTAATCCAGTATATTTTCTGTATTATTTATGTGTACATTTATTGAACCGTTAATTTTTATTCAATATTAGTATTTGTTTTTTTTCTGTCATTTGCTTTCACAAGTAATAAAAAAAACTTGTATCGTTGAATCATTTGCACTATCAGCATAACATCATAAATATTGAAATAAGATTTTTTAAACTACTAATAAATTTCACATACGAATAAAATATGTTCATTAAGTTTTAGGCTTACGAAAGAAGTACTCAAGGTGTCAATTCTTGTTTTGGTTCATCTATATCTTATTCTATAGAATATATTGAGATAAGAGAAGGTCTAGAAGAGTTCGATTTCATAACGCACTGATCAAGAGTTATAGAAGTTTAAATGAAATTTGTAGTATGAGTCAAACATTTCGAAGGAAAGATCAAAATGAAGAGTTTTGATTTGAAACTTTGCCTACAGATAGATCTAATAGTCGTTAAACTGTCCTGACAGTTTCATTGAAGACATACATGTCTTTCGCGATATAATGAATTTCCAAAGAAAGTGAATCAGAAATGGAGGCGATCTATTGTTTTGACGATCGATATCCGTATCGATTCGATCTCTGAAGTGGATTATTATGTTTTCCTACTGTAACCGACAGTGATTTTGGAAAATGAATATCTTGCGAAAGCCATGTTCGATTTTGTTGAAATTTTCAGAACTATCTATTGACTATTAAATCTATCTATGCGCAAAGCTTCCGATAGAAACTCTTCATTTCAGTTTCTCGAAACGATTAGTTCTCAGTAAGAATTCCAGTAAAACAGGTCATAACTCTTCGCCAGTACGTCATACTCTCGAATCCTTTTAGGTTTTATTTTTAATCACAATACCCTCTATTGAATGAGATATGAATGAATTAAAAGAAAGCTGGACACGTCGAATAGTTTTCCTCGTTAGATATCTTATTGTTGTTTCAAATGTAAACTTACTTCGTGAACTCTCTAAGACTTATCGATTTGACATATTTTTTCTACATCAATTAAGCTAATAGTCTCTAATATAAATGTAAATTTCAAGAAATTAAAATTGTAGTGTTTACCAGAAATATATACGATCGAAAATGTTTATTATTTGAAAAAAGAAAAAGAATTGATCGATATTATTTGTACGTATCAACGATAAATCCCAACTCTTCTTCTTGTTGATCATATAATTATATTCATGCCATTTTAAGAAATAATTTTGATCTACTTATTATTTTGCCATTCAAGTCCAGCTAAGAATAATATAATCTTTGGAATAATAATTATCCTATTATATTCATTTTAATTTTAAGATATAAAATATTATCTACATATTAGTGTTGATTTTTTTTTAGTAATATATTTTCTCAAGGAACTCGATATAGAATGTCAAGGTCACTATGTTTTCTATTTTTTTTTTCTCATAAAACATCCACTATCAATAAAAGAGGTCAAACATATTCATCATATTTCTTCTTCTTACTTTGTTATAAATTATCATTATAGACATAGTGGCAACTTTAATAAATTAGTCAAAGAATTCTATATGTAAATTTATATTCTTTTTGTCGTAAATATCAATCGAACAATGAATTTATGTTTTATAAAAATATTCATCATAATAGGATACAATAAGATAAATAGCTACAGCATATATATCTTAGATATTGGATATATGTTTAACGGGCAAGTCTTTTTTTCTTGTTGTTGATGATATCTGAGGACACGTCGAGAGACGGATGTAACTAAGATCATCTATCTTCCAAAAAAGATATCGACGTAGTCGTTACTGTCGTTGTTGCCATTAGGAGTCTTTGTATGACATGACTTTCAAAAGCAGAAAAAAATACGATGCAAACACTAACATAGCCGATTATTATTTAGAATATTGAAGAAACATAGACCGCAGATGGTCGTAGGAAGACAACAATGAGTTTCATCGTTCTATCTTCATCATTATCATTATATTGCAGTGTGTTCTGATAATTGCTTGGGTTTCACTAAGACAGCCCATATGTGTTCTACGATATGGGATGCAGAAAAAGAGAATTTATTGAAGAATATTTTATGCCAATAAGAGGAAAAGATAAGCTATTGCTGTGGCTGCTGCTGCTGTTTTTGTTATTGCTTCTGTTAGTTACCAAGTTATCCCGATAGGCAAGTTTGTTGTTTAGATGAGAAAATACATCGTCGTCGTCTTCGTCGTCAATCAGAAGAGAGGAAAGTTCAAATACATATATCTAGGATATACTCGTTTTCAGTTATAGAGAATAGAGTACTACAAAAGAAGGATAGATAGATAACGAGAGAAAAGAAAAGAAAGACGTTTTACACTTATTTGGATTCTTTGTATTCATTGCAAGACTCTAGGCTAAAGACAACGAATAATGGCGGGAACACAAATGATCAAAGTTACACTTCAACGTGATAGTTTGCAAACTCCATGGGGTTTTCGATTACAAGGTGGTGCAGATTTTTGTATGCCCTTTACTGTTAATAAAGTAAGTAAAAATCTCCTTTAGTTTTTTAGCATTTTCCATTAATATGATACTAATATTGTTATATAGATCACTGCTGGTAGTCCTGCTGATGGAATTCTTCATCGTGGGGATATTATTCTTGACATCGATCAAAAACCAATTAGCTCAATGCCTCATGCTGATGCGCTTGAACTTGTACAACGAGCTGGTGGTCAAATAACATTTCTTATAGAAAGGTTTCATTAAATAACAAAATGAGAAAAAAAGATTACTTTTGATTAATATTTACTTGCTTTTTTTGTTTTGTTTGATTATTTTTTTTCTAGAGGATCAACTCCTCTTGGATCGTTTATGCACAATCAACGCCCAATGTCAGCTATGCCTTGGTCTTTAGTAAATGCTGCTTCATATATAGACAGGAATTTTCGTTTACCTTGGCCTGCATCAGTCGCTCCTCAAAGTCCTACGGTAAATAAAATTATAAAGAAAAGTCTATGTGAAATATTTCGAATAAATGTATTCTATTTAGGCATTTTTTCGAAGTCGAGCATTGGAGCGTATACCTGATCCTAAGCCATTACTTAGCCAAACAGGTAGTCCTCTCATGCCTGGTCCAGTTCCGTCAGTATCAACTAAAACTCGTGGTTATACTAAACCACCAGTTTTTCATACGGAACCAACTCACTTATCCAATACATCACCGCTTCCGGCTTCATATTCTCCTGTTCGTTTTACTTATCCAAGTTCAACAAATAATGGTAATTATCAAACAGTATCACCAACACCATATCAAGCACCTTGGAAAGATTCAGTAGGTCATGAGTCTCGTCGTTATGTACCTTCTTATCAGAAGAAGGTACCAGTAAATACAATAATTCAAAAACAAAATCCAAATAATCAAAAACAGCAACGTACTCATCAACAATATACAACAATAGCAAGACAACAACAACAACATTATCGACCAGCATCGGTACAACCAATAAATCTTGTAAATCGTCAATATAATTCACCAATGTCACTTTATTCAAATGGTAATGTTCAAGACGTTATGAAAGATCATGTTAGTCATATCACTCGTGTCAGGTAAATATAATATAATTAAACACAATAATAAAGTAACTCTATATTCTGCACTTATGAGATAATATATAATATTTTCTTCCAGTCATATGAATCAGAGTGGCTTTGTGACCGATTTTTAATACAAGGTTTTATTAAATGCCTATAGAAATTCAATATATATATATATACACTTAAAGGAACGCGCTTAATTCATTATTGCTTGAAGCAGTTTTGTTTTTTGTTCTTTTCTACTAATGCAACATATAGAAAAACGAAAAAAACAAAAATATGCAGCTTGAGTATCTACATTTATATGCGTATGCATGTTAACTTAAATTATGATTAAGTTAATTAATTAAAAAAAGCGACAAAAAATTAATTATTTTGTTTTTCATATTTCGTTTTTGATTTTAGTATTGTCCCATCGATGCCTAAACAATCACATGGTAATTATGTAATTGGAGTATCACCATCACATGATACATATACAACAGCAAGCACACCTATTTGTTATGTAAAACCAAAACAAAGTGTTTATGCATCAGACTTTTAATATAAAGTGATGAATTGTGTATTATGATTTAATATTCAACGAAAACAAAATGAAATATTTCAATTGTAGAATTTAGTCTAAATTAAAGTTTTTCATTTCTTGTTTCTCTTTTCTTTCTTTTTCATTTTTTTTTCACCCATGGATTTCTTTTTTTCTTCTTTATATATTTTATATGATTATCCTTCCATTGGGTTGAAATATCGAGTATATTTTACCGAGTGACCTTAAGAATTTTGTTTGTTTTCGTTTTTGTATTTCATGTGTGCTTCACAGTAATAATTTAACAAGTTTTAGTCCATTGTTCTTTTTTTGCACAGAATATGTTTTATTCATTAGCACATCAGAATAAGTTCATATTCATATCATGAAGAAAATCAAAGAAAACAATGTTTATTTTATAATTTGAAATTCTACAATTATAACAATTAGTTTATTAAACAAAAGTCGTATAGTTCTCTCTGTCGATATATGAGTAGTTGTCACATTTCTAAAGATTTGACTGTATAATTCATCATGAATGAATAATTTATGTTTTGAAAACCGTTCACTGAAAACTATGTCTATATATTAGTCTTGATTATATGTATATGAATCAAGTGATTATTTTTATGAAAGAATCTGTCATTTCTTGTCTCGTTGTCTTATCATGATAATCAACACTTCAACAATAGAGATTTGTCTTATGTATCGAGTGATCTCTAAATGTAATGTTTTTCTTTCAATCGAAACAATTTTATTATATCATTAACATGTATAAATATGACAAAATTTGATCGATATTTAATTATATCAAGAACAATTCATTTAAGACAACTTACAAAGTCAATTTATTTTAACATCTGTTTTCCTTGGGTCTATTTGGTATAGTATTTCAGTAGCTATTCATTATGATACTGTCAATATCGATAATTATATTATAGTTCCAATCGTCTATTCCAATTATTATTTACATATGATCTCTATAGCCTATATAGAATATTACCGATTTATTTTTTTGTTCCATTTAATACATTATCAATATAAAAAATACTCAGGGTATACCAAAAGTTCTGACCACGACGTTTAAAGGACCTTTTTGGATAATGTGGCCGATTCAAAAAATGAGAAATCAAATATACCATGTTGTAGAGCTTTTCAAGGCACATCGAATAGTNTCTACCTTTCGATGTCGAGATTAATCTAAATAAAAGAAAAAAAGATTATTTATATAAACACTTACTTTTTGTTTCAACATTCAAATTAACCTGAATAGAATAAAAAATTTACACAAATAAATATTTACGGTTATGTTTTCAATCTTTTTTAGTAATCAAAACCAATTACTTAAAACTACCGGTTGAGCAGAGTTAACGGATGGTTGTAATTTTAATCGTTAGTTGATTGCGGTTAATCGATGTTTTAGTTGAAATCGCCGGTTACCGGTGGTTTTGCAAAAAAAAGACGACATGGGTTCAGACAACGATTAAGTTGCATTTTGTTTGAAAGCACATCGAAAATGAATTTAATCGATCGTGAGATGAGAGCGATCGAGCACATCCGATTTCCTCTCGAACTGAAAGGAAATAATTTTCTTTTTTGTTCACCGTTATCAATCGACTTGATTCAAGTGGAAATCAATACCAATCGGATTCGTGTATTTTCGAATTGAGAAAATACTCTGCCCTCTTTTCTACTATCTTCATTGATTATCAATAAAAGTCGTACTCTTGATGAACACTTTGAGAAAGCTTCGGAGCAAGATTTGAAAAAAAAATGATGAATCTGTTTTTGATCGAATATCTGACAATTTATTTCATAAGTAAATGAGCAAACAAAAACTGAACCTATAAGATGAAACGATGACATTAAAGATAAAATAAGAGGATACAGAAAATCTAATAAGAATGTTTTTCAATATGTTGCACAAAATAATATCATCATAGTGTTACAGTTTTCATGTTGGTATGACAATTGCTAGATGACGTGTAATCCGATCCGAATACATTGCTAATGCTTGATGCAGTGCATACGGTCGTAATCGCCCTTCACCATTAACATTGTAACGCACGTCATCATTGCGAATCCCAGTATTTACACCAACCAATCGTTCATTTGCATCAAATATGCAACCACCACTAGCATCACGTAACGAGAGACAATCATGAGCGATATGTATGTCATCGTTTACTATGAATTTTCCTATTGACACTGTTCGATGGTTGGGATGCATGGCAAAATTCAAATGTTCTCATGTATATAATGAATAATTAGGACATTCTTCATAAAATTCCACATCTTTTTTTGTTCGCATTGTTGAACAATATGTCAGCAAAAATAATAATGAATTCGATTCAAGTTCGGCTTTGTCCAACAATCGTGGTGGACAAAAGTCCGTTTTGTTTTCTGGCATCAATATATCTTTTATTTGTTCAAATCTACAAATACTCAAAATTGCAACATCATCATCATCTGAACGAATCTTGTTTGGTTGTAATTCAATGTCATTAATACCACGAATGATCATTTCAGCTTCAAATACATTTGTATTATCTGTGTTGAATAATTGATCAGATGCATACGATAACGACGTAAATTCAATACGTTTATATGGCACAAATACATCTTGTTCTTCTATTAACGGGTTAAAAAGATGAGCTGCTGTAATAATATATCGATCATTAATGATTAAACCACTTCCGGTTATATAACTTGTTATTTCTGCTGACTGAAATTCGACACAAATTTTAACAACAAATGTGGATAAATATTCGAGTTGTTTTATGGTTGTTAAGTCAATACTCACATCAGAATTGATTGTTAGCTGAGATCGACCATTGGACGAATAGATAAATGGAACGTTTTCTCTCAATTGATTTGTTCGATAATCAATAAATGCACGTTAACTCGATGTTTTATGTTCAGACCGAATTACCTGATTATGTTTGATGAGGCGTTGTTAATTTTCATGTTCTTCTTCCGATGATGATTTATTACTAGTAGTATTCTATAATCAAAATTTAAAAAAAGATTTAAATACGAGTGTTAGAGTTCGCTCTCATGAAGAGCAACGAATATAGTTAAAGATGTGTTGTCTTCTCTCTCTGTTTATTCTTTTAGAAAAACAGTGTTTATATACGCACATGAGAAAACAAGCGAAAAATAGAAAAGAATACAAAGGTTAATCAAGGTCAAAGAAAAGAAGCAACAGAAACGAAATAAAGAAATGATCAAAGAGAAGAGAATAGAGAGGATAGAAATATATGTTATGAAAATACCCTGTAACAACGAGAAAGATCTATCAGATAACAAAAGATCATCACTAAATGGGAGATTTCTTATGATCAAAACAGACACTGCATTGATTTGACCGGGACCTAGACAGCTAGCCTTACCAATAACAACACGTGCCTTTCTTCTCTCAGAACTAGCCAATTCTGATACAAGCTCGACTAGACAAAGATCAGAGCTTTGTTTTGCATATTACACATGATTCTCGCGTTATACAGTGGATTTTGGTTTTATCATTAGAAATATGACTTATTAATTCTTCCTTCGTGGGTTCGACTGACTTTGCCGACGATGACATGATATCGACTTTTTATCAATTATCTAAAATGAAAAAGACTTTCTAGAATTCTTTCTTCAGGTTAGTGATACTCGCATGATGACATTCTTTGACCTTTTCATCCTGAGATGTGTTCTGCTAGTTCGATTAACTAGTGTGAGAAGTGTCGTCTACTTGAAGAAGAACTAGACAAATATCTCCTCACAATGCGACACACAGAACAGAAATATATTGAATTGACAATCACGTTAATTGATCGTTTGGAAAATATTTTCATTCTATTCGGTGAATAAACAAATGTTTCGTTGTGGGAAACGATCTTCTTTGGAAAAAACATAGGATTTCTGTACAGTTTGAATATCTTCAAATTGATCAATAAATGACGTCTATTTTTCATCAAAGATTCATTCGAATAAAAAAATAAATAATTTCACAAAGCAATTCGTCGTTTCGGAATCGAACGTTTTTCTAATTATTTATTCATTTCTGCATCATTAACTGATTTAAAATGAAAAATTGAACAGAAATCAATCGAAGAAAATCTCCCTCTGTGGATCACAATGATAATTATGCAATTCATTGAAGTGGCGCGATATATATTTACCTTGTCTTTCGAAACCGAATTCATCTTAACCTTAGACGACTTTCTCATCTAAACGACTTGAATAATGAATACTAATGACATTGGTTGAAGAATGAATACTAATGACACTGGTTGAAGAATGATATAAACAAAAACTACGTTGACTTTCTTGACGAGAATGATCACGAAGATTTGTTAGACATAGTGAAGAATAAAGTTTACCCGCTAATGCACTTTTATTCGATGACCATTTGTCTAAAGTATCAATATCTATTTTGGATTCAATGAAGAAAAACAACTAAATTCACTATAGAATGGATCATGAGCTTTTCTCTTCAATGAAATCTGTTTAAATTTCATATCTAGATGATCACAATCGAGCCTATCAACGTCAAATACAAATCTCTTCATTCCATTGAAGATCAACGAAATGTACTTTCGAAAGATCTGATTACCTTCTATAGCAGTTAATTTCATTCGGATTTCTACATAAGGAATATATAGCTGCATTTGAATTTGTTTGTTCATAAACAATCTTTAAATTCATCACTACATCCACCAACTACTGCCGAATCAAAATTATCAAAGCAATCTTTTCATCTGAATGTCTACGACCAGTTAATCCTTTCTATTCATCAAAAGAATTTATCAAATTGTATTTCTTCTTAGGTCACGAAAATCATGATTTATTAAACTGATTAATCGCCTAAAGTGGCGCTTTTTGCCGATTATTTGAGTGATTTTTATAGAAAATCGCAATCTAATAGCGCTTAAATCGCTTTAAGGACGCACCAATTTCACACACTTCACCTCAGAGATGCTATTTTTCCGGTATGTAGAATCACCAATTCCGACCAAGTCTCCGAGCTAGATTTGAACCCCTTGGATTGTCCTACATATATTTAATACCGGACATAACTAAACACGATTAAAGAGTTCATGGGGAATTTGAATTTGCGGCAAATTCAAAATGCTAATACCGCTATAGCGGTATAAGTATCCTTTTACCGCTGTATCTCTATAGCGTCTTTAAAGACAAAGAAATCTCCTACCGAAGGGTACAGCCACCTTAAGAGTAGCCCTTCAAAGATACTACCTTCAGGGTACCTTTTCAATGGCACCCTCCTCACCCTCACTTTGCTGTCCCTCAAGAGTTCCAGCAAGGGTACCTTCCTCACCCTCACTTTGTTCTCTCTCAAGGGTGCCCCCCCCAAGGGTACCCCGCCAAGGGTACCCTGCCAAGGGTTCCCTCCCAAGGATACTCTCCCAAGGATACCCTCCCAAGGGTACTCCTCAAGGGTACCCTCCTCATCCTCAAGATGCTTCTCTACCTCTATATAATGAATTTGTCGTAAATTCGAATTCCCCATCATATGGAAGTTTTGAAAAAATTTCTTTTGCACCACCCCATTTTTTTTCTCTTCGCCACATCCCTGATCGTTGTTTGAATGAAAGTTTCTTTTTTCTATTCAAAAAAGAAGCAAATTCTATTGTCTATTGTTTAAGATAACAAATAATAACAAAGAGAATGAAATGATGACGATCATTAAAGATTTACCTTTATTATTAATCATGACTCAACCATTCAATTAGAGTTTGGATCAATAAGACTTCTATTCAACTGAATAGACAAAAACAAATTTCGATCATGGATGAAGCTTTTCAAGGATTTCACTTTGATTTATTTTTTTTCCAATCCATTCAATTGATCTGTCAATAAGTGGCGACATCTTTATCTGATTTGTATCAAAATTTTTGCTTGAGATAAGTTACATATATAAACTAATTCACTGACGAAACGAATGCCATTAGCATTTTGTTGCTATTCTTTCTCACGAAACGACTCTCTAGCAAGAGGGCGTTAGATTTCGATATTCAAGCTGACGAGATATTCTATAGTTTTCAGAAGATCGAGAACGAGAACGAGAAAAAGAAATTCTCTTTAGCATAATTCTTACATAAATCAAAAAAGAGCGTTTTTCAATAGTAGTGTACAATACAATTCATTTTATCAAAGGTAGTTAACTGTATTGTGATATGGCTTAACATAAGGTAATTTAGCAGATCATCGAGTATTTTTCCTGGAGATAGAAATTTTGCTGATGTTTTTTCATTTAAATCCACTCGCAAACATAATTATCTAATATATTGATAATTCGAAGGGGTGGAAAATTTTTATTAGAAGTTGGTGCAAAATTACTGATGTCTTTTTCTCGAAGCTTTCTGAGAATGAGATGGTGAAAAGAGACAAAAGTGCTTTTATGCTCTATTCACGATAAGAAATAATTCTAGATTTGTTCAATGATGATTTCAAAAACTACTATGACATCTTCTTTGATGTAACAAAAAAAGGTAAGTTTAACAATCTCGTAGGATATTTCTCCAATCAATATTGTTATACATTGATCTTTTGCAATAAGATTAAGAGAATATCTTCAATTTGTTTGATAAAAGTTTCATATTTAGAAATAGTTTAAAATATGATGAAATTCGTTTTGCTGATGAAAATGTTCATATAAAAGAAGATGCTTTCTTTTGCTTTTTTTCTCCAAACTCACAAAAACAAACATTGACGAAAAAGATTTTCTCAATCAAAATAAAACAATGAAAGAGTGGACAACTTTTTAAATGCATCATTACAAATAATCAAAGAAAATCAGTCAATATCAATCATTTCCAATATTTCGGCACCTTTTTCAAAGAATGTTCCATATTTTTCCGCTGTAATGGTTCATTAAGAATAGCAGCATGTAGTGAAAATGTTATTTGGAATGTAATAACAGAAGGTATTCTCATATGTGATTGCTTCTGACAACATTTTCTTCATCAGCTCTTTTCGAAAACTTATTGTTATTGTCAACCTTTGTTTTCTCGACACGTTTATCGAAGTTTTCCACAAGAAATTTCTTCATCAATATCTGACCACAACTCTTGTTCAATTTTCCAATGAAAAGCTAAATCATTCATTTGTTATTTTCACTATTCTCTGTTTCTTTTTCTTCATTTCAAAACAAATTCATTTTTTCTACTTTAAACCAAATCAAAGAAATATTTCTCACCCAATAAATTCGATTAAAAGTATTGCAATTACTCTTTTTCAAATGTTAATTTATAGCAGAACAAAGAAAAAAACGGCTCATCTTTTCAATGGATTATCGTTATCTGTCAATATAGTTAAAAATTGAAAAATGATTGGATATTCAATGGCATTTCTATCTTCTTTTACTTCCTGAAATAGAAAATTTGATTAAAGAAAGGAATTCATTGGTTCTATGAGAATGCGAATAATTAATCGTTCAAATAAAAAGAGATCGAAATTTCGTACGAGAAAAGATGATTGTACATTTATCAATAAATCTTCGATCATTTGTTTGATTGATGCACAAATTCCAAAATAAATAGCAGTGACGGTGGAAAAGGTGATCATTATGATGAACTGTTTCTCTATTCAAACCTTTTTTTCTAAATCAAATCTTGAATCATCAAAAAACCATTCCATCAAATCTAGCAAAGAAAATGTTCAAAACATAAAGATTTTCTTTGAGAAGGATGTCAGGTTCACGGTAGTACTATCTTTATGTGACAAACTCTTTGCAATCATTCATTCAAACCATTCATTTCATTTTAATCTTTTCAAAAGATCCGAACAACAAGATCATTTCATTTTCACGAAAATTTCAGAAAAGATTAAGATATTTGTTTTTTTCTCAATAGTGAAAAGTTGTGCATTTGGTGATATACACAAAAAAAATTCTAATATTAGTGGAAAAAAACACGAGTCTGGACCCCACCAGGTTCGGCCCTATATCCATTGGGCTCACATCGGATCCGAGTCCACAAAGGAGCTGACGCCTATACCGCCTCCCCCCGCTAGTTTTTTTTCAAGTATTTTTTTTGTTGCCAGTGGTGTGAGGATATGAGATCACGAAACCAGACCGTGAACCTTTTAGACCTACCAAGAGAATCACTTTAGACAAATTGTTGACCCTTCTATTGTACTATGATTTATATCTCATCTAACGGGTAGCGTATAATAAACAGGACAAAATGTTCTCTTTCTTTTAGGGCACTTTCCAGTATACTGAAGACGCCATTTTATGCTCATTTGATAGAGAAGTTTTCGCTCTACAAAACCATATATGTTTTATGTTCTTATACCAATTATAACCGATAAAAAATTATACAAAATGAAGAGATCCAAAATACTCCGTTGCAATTATAGATATATTGCGTGTTTTCATCGAATGCTTAACAGGTTGTCAAAAGAAGCTTGGCCTATTGATCGAATGACTTTAAGAGAGCTACACAGTTATAGAACAAATGTTTCTCTTCTAATCTACATGCAGCAGACTTGTATGTGGTTTGTTATTAAATAATTTGAAAGTAAATTAGGAGCTAAAGCAAAAGTTTCTAATACTCGATGACCAAGAGAAACCATTTTTATATGATACTCATCATAAATAGATTCACAAAATCGTGAACAAATGTATTAACTCAATAAATTATTTTCTTAATAGAAAGACAAACTTTTAAGATTATTGTGCCAAAAATTAGATCCATATGAAAAAGCACCTCGTTCTATTCGATCTTTGTCATCGGCTGAAAATTTTATTGCTAAATCAAAATCTTTCTTAAGATCATCTTTAGGACTTACTTTTTCTTCAAACATTGGTATATAATTTAGATTACTTCCATATGGACATGAACCAATATATAATTTCATTTTTTCACCAATCGATTGAGAAAGAAACGTCATACTTCTTCATAAACACGTTCGGTAAGTGATGATGAGACACCATGATTTGATAAATAAAAACACCAACAGTACGACAAGCATCAATTGTTTGTGACGATACTCGTTGAAGATCTTCATCTGTTCCATTGAGAAAAGGATCAAAATCAATTAGAGGAATTTATGTCAGCATTGATTTTTACTATTTTTATGCATATAAATGAAAGAAAGATAAATCCTATCGCTTTTCCTTTTATTTCAGGATATGGAAGTAATCACTACGGACCTCTATCGAAATAAATAACATCCTAAATAATTATCTTTTAAGCGTGCCATTTATTTCATTTTCCTTTCACCATATCACCCTCTCTTTGCTCGTTTAAATAACAAATGCTTTTTCTCATTTAATAGATGTATTTTCTTCAAAGCTCATGAAAAACTTATGTATTTCTGATTGAGGTGATTGGTTTATGTTTGTTAGAAAAACCTTTTTTATTAGAATAGATAAAGTTGGAACAAATAATTAATGAAAAAGATAACATATTTTATACGAACAAGTCATCCAAAAAATGTTTGATCAGAATAAATAGCTTGTTCATCATTATCAGAATTTCTGTTATACGTATGACAATCCGGAATTAAGTAGAACGTCCTTAAGTATTGTAGACATGTTGTATCGACTTTTCCTTCGTGTGTCAACATCATAGGCGAATTATTTTGATATTTAAAGCCATTATTATCTATCAAAGATAAATTCATTCGACATCTAGAACCTAGATCTTCTAGTAAACTACATAAATAAAATATAATTCCATGAGATGAGTTGTTGACGACCATAAATATATTATCAATATGTTAACCCAGGACGAGCATTATCACAGTCGTAAATGTTCGTATACGGTGTCAATTACGACTGTATACGATCGTATTTCACCGTATTACTTGACACCAGAAATACGACGTGTATACGACTAGCGTCAACGACCGTATACCACCATTTGTCATTCTATAGGCATAACCAGCTAATTAGTGAAGAGGAGGACGACTTCCGATTACCTCCTTCCACCACCTGAACACAAGCTTTCGAAAATAATCGCAATCATAAAAACCTCTTTAAAAAAAACTATTGAACGCATTAAAAAAATACTTAACATTTCTTGTGCCGTTGAACTTGGCCTGAATGTATAGAAGTTATTTTATTTAATAATAGTACTTATACTGTTCATTGTGCCACTAGATTAGATCCAAATATGGAAAAAAGGAATTATTTTATTTAATAAAAATGCCATATCAAGATGATAACTAAGGAATGAAATGTTATTAAAATGATCCTACAAAAATGAATAATACATGTAAACACATAAATATTCATTAGTTCCTTTGTTTACTTGGACTGATTTTGTATTTAGTCACAATCACTTTTACATAAAATAAACTTTGAAAAGAGAAGAATGGAGAAACGAAGAAAACATGTTAGTCACGTTCTAGCGGGCTTTATATCTGTTTTATACACATAGGCTTCTTACTGTATATTTATCGATAAACCATTTGAGTGAAAATAGAATTCTTCTGATTGTTGATTTCAAAACTTGAGAACTTCAACTCAATCTTGTGAATCTTCTCTATAAATTTATTGAACAATTTGCACATTTGATGAGTTTATCAGGCAATATCTAATCATAATCCGACCTGCTACTGTTCGTGAAATGAATCAAGCTATTGTATGTAACAAACCGAACACACGATAGTGATGTATTTTTACAAGCATCATGAACTATGTCGATTTGCTCTTGTGTAATTTTTGAAAGTCTGTCGAGTTTACTATTCTACTCATTTCGCAAAAGTATTCTTTATACAACCTATGTATGGCGATTGTAGATCAAATTCTACTTACATTTTTCTTTCACAAAGATAAATTATTCACATCAACTTTCTACCGAAACTTTTGTGACAGCCTGCATATACGAGAAAAACATTATAGGAATTTTCTAATAGATCTAATTTATCTAACTCAACATTGATATTATTTAAAATCTGAAACTTATCGACATCTATTAAATAGATGTCGTTCATATGAATAAAACAATCGTAAGAAAGTAATAAATTATTTTTCCTACTAATCAACGACGAATAATTTTATTCTTCAATTAATTTTTTCAAGATTAAAAAAAAACTTTCCAGCTTAATTATTCAAACCGACATCCTAATCGAGTCAAATAGTTCGAGTTCTAACATGGCGCTAGCACACAGTGACAACATATGATGATAAAAAAAGACAAGAAATTTTCTAACGGTAACAACAATATTATTCTATTGACATTTTTTGAATAATAGCAAAAAAAAGAAAGGAAAGAAAATTCAAGAATATTATTATTTTACAATCAACAGGAAAAAAATAATAATAAATAATATTTCATCTCTTCTATCATCAATTTTCATATTCTGGTCTTTATTCAATATCTACAGAAAAAAATGAATTGAACAATAAACTAAAATTATTTTTGTTTTTTCTCTAGATATTTTTTTTCTGTTATTTTTTTCAATGTTTTGTGTGTTTTGTTATTTCAGACATCAGTCTTTGTGCTCGTTCTACCTACTGCTACATTTATTCGTGTGTGCAGTTTTTGTTCGATTTTCATTCCTACATAAATATATTAGCGTTTGTTCGCTTCAACTTCCCCTTTTGTGCATTAATTACATTAACAAAATAAATTTATCATTATAAATATACACGCACACGCATTATGTAAGTATTTTATCAATAAAAAAAAATCTCCGATGGCAATCACAGATAAAAACGAAGACTAATTTCATTTGATAATATTGGTTTTGTTTCTTTAATCTTAGTTCAAATAAGAAAGAAAAACAATGACAACAAGAAATTTGGATAATGAGTTTAATTCATCTCGTATCGGTCAAATAGCATCATCATCACCGATACGTGATACTGGTTATATTGAACATACAACAAGTCATGGTCAAGGTGAAAATGGTTATACTATTGATATACATGATAGTCAAAATATAAATTTATCACAAACAGGTTATTCACATGGTAGTGGGAGTGGTGGTAATGGTACATCGACTGGATTAAAACCTGAAGATGACAGAAAATTATTTGTTGGTATGTATTTTTCGAAATTAAATAAAGAGGAAAAAAAAAATGAATATTTTCTTTTTTTTTTTTTTTTTTTTTTTTTACAGGTGGTTTAACTTGGGATACAACACAAGAAGATTTACGTGAATATTTTTCTAGTTTTGGTAATGTTCTTGATTGTTCAATTAAACATGATCCGTCAACAGGACGTAGTCGTGGTTTTGCTTTTCTTGTATTCGATTCAAAAGATATTGTTGAAAGAATACTTTCACAAAATGATCATTTTGTTAAAGGACGTAGAGTTGATCCTAAACCAGCACATCGTCGTTTAAATACAACAGCAAACAATCAAATAAATAATCTAACAAATAATAATAATAATAATCTATCATCGCAATCTTCTTTATATGGTGTTGCTCCATCATCAACAATGCCTTATCCAAATATGACTATGGGTATAGGTGCTAATTTAAATCCATATAGTAATAATCGTAAAGTATTTATTGGTGGTCTTGATCCAAGTTTTCCTGATTCGCAATTACGAGAATATTTTTCTAAATTTGGTCAAATTGATGGTAAGAAAATATCAAGGAGAGAATTTGGCGTTTTTTTTTCTTTTGATATTTAGAAATTGATCTACCTTATGATAAAGAAAAAAATGAACGACGTCCATTCTGTTTTATTTCATTTCAAACTGAACAAGCAGCACAAGAAGTTCTTCGATTACAACGACATACGATTGGTGACATCAGTGTTGATGTTAAACGTGCAAAACCAAAAACATTAAATAATCAGCAACAGCAACAATTACAACAACAAATATTTGATCCATATGGACAACAAGCTACATATTCGAATTATGGAGCTAGTGTTCCATCTTATGGGGGGCCAAGTGCTTATCAAACACCTGAGGCGTAAGAAAAACATGATTTCTTTTAGAGTCATAACCAAGCGTTTTAATCGAGTCTATGTCTTATTTTATATATATATCTTTTTTTCTAATGATTGAACAACTTATACATAGAACGAATAAACAGGAAGAAAAGTTTTATGAGATGAAAACTCGTAAGTACAAATAGAGACAAAACTGTTGTGACTACATCTGAAGACAGAGTTCCCGAGCGGCGATGACCCCCTGTCCACCCCCTCCCTTTCCAATCATCCTGGCGGTCTTAACAGTTAGAATTCACATTCATATTGTATGTTATATTATTTGATAGATCTTTGACATATTATGTTACAAATAAATAATAGGCTTCATAGATCTTGCACATTTCTATATTTCTCTTATGTCATTAAGTGTATTTATATACTTCTGAATAAACTATTGAAAATAAGAATTATTTGTGACTAACTGCGTATAAATATGGACATAATTATCCAACTGAGAAAATATGCTTGTTCTTTTTAATTTCAAAATAAAATATGATTGCGTTCTGAATCGTATTCAAGGCATTAACACAATAGATTATACATTCATATTTCTATATATTTTGTCTTATCTTTATTTATGCCTTTGTACTTTTATCTACCTCTGTAATAAAAACAAAACGCTTAGTACCGATTGCCTTCATTTTATCAAAGAAATCATACTTAAACGTCAAAAAATATTGTATAAATTATCTATTGTTTTTTTTTTCTAGCTATACTCATTGGAATGCTTATACGTACAATCAACAGGCAAATCCAACCGCATATCCATATGGTAGTTCTGGTTCAACAGGTGCTCCTAGTCCAGGACCATCATCTTATTCTCAATATCCTGAACACCAATCAAATTCTCAGTATTCATATACACCATCGAATACAGTAAGTGCGAATGATTATTATACTCATTATGGTTACAGTGCTCCACAACCAACAGGTGTTTATGCTGATCCAAATGGTAAATTTTTCTTTCTTGTGTTGTTTCTTCTTTTGCTTATAA